CCTATGGAGGTGAATTTCAAAACCAGACTCTCCATTGATTCTCAGGCCCATTACTCCCTGTGCTCTTCCTGCTGCGACTCACGCGGCCACATGAGAAAAACAGTTACTAACACACACTGATCTCTGACTACGGGCAAACACTCTGCTAAGCACTTTATATGTAACTCATTTCATCTCCCACGTAACACTCAGATATTTACTGCAATTATCTCCTTTACAGATAAGAAACCAAGCCACCAAGAGTTCAGGCCTTCACCTGACGTCACATCACAGGTGGACCTGCCATTTGCAGGATGTCCTCTAGCCAGCAGTACATGTCCGTGTTCCCCAGGACTTTGCCCCAGACCCTCTTCTCTTATTGGCACTCCCTGAGGTCCCATGGCCAACCTCTCACTAACAATTCCCACATCCTTGTCCTCAGCCCATATTTCTCTCCTGTGCTCTCATCCTTTTTTTAAAAAAAAAAATATATATATATTTTATTGATTTTTATACAGAGAGGAAGGGAGAGAGATAGAGAGTTAAAAACATCGATCAGCTGCCTCCTGCACACTCCCCACTGGGGATGTGCCCGCAACCAAGGTACATGCCCTTGACCAGAATCGAACCTGGGACCCTTGAGTCCGGAGGCCGATGCTCTATCCACTGAGCCAAATCGGTTAGGGCTGTGCTCTCATCCATTATATCTAACCACCGTTTCGAGGCTCCTGGGAGACCATGTGCCTACAGCTTCAACTTGATTTTTTTATATATATATATACTTTTTATTGACTTCAGAAAGGAAGGGAGAGGGAGAGAGAGAAACATCAATGATGAGAATCATTGATAGGCTGCCTCCTACTGGGGATTGAGCCCACAACCCGGGCATGTGCTCTTGACTGGAATCGAACCTGGAACCCTTCAGTCCACAGACCCATGCTCTATCCACTGAGCAAAACCGGCTAGAGCTCAACTTGATATTTTTAAGAGTTACCCCTTATTATCAAAGCCACTGTAATGATACATTACACACAATGAACCATAAAAATAATCATAATTAAGAACAAATGAAGCCCTAGCTTGTTTGACTCAGTGGGTAGAACATTGGCCTGCAGACTGAAGGGTCCCAGGTTTGATTCCGGTCAAGGGCATATGCCCAGGTTGCGGGCTCGATCCCCTGTGGGGGGCATGTGGGAGACAGCCAATCAATGGTTCTCTCTCAGCATTGATGTTTCTATCTCTCTCTCTCTCCCTCTCCCTTCCTCTCTGAAATCAATAAAAATATATGTTTTTTAAAAAACAGCAAATATTGACTACACTTTCTCATAAAAAAAATGAAAGTCTTAGATTTTCTAGTTGCTATCAAGTACCATTAAAGTCATATACAGTGGAGAAGGTGAAAGTTTCTTCAATCAACAGATTAGTTGGTGGCCTATTTTTTATTTTTAGTGTTTTTATTCTACCATGTTTTTGCCTATGTCAACAACATTAAGATATGTCATCTATAACTGGATCTACAGTTTTCTGCTTGCCCGCCCTTGCAAAATGCCTGGTTGAAACAATTGATACTTGAAAGGAAACAATCTTAGACAACGCAAACACTTTATTTCCCTGGAGTCTCTTCAAGCAGTTCCTCCCTCACACACAGCACCAGAAAGCCTCCCAACGTGACTGGGATGCTTTCCTTCCGCATCTACATGCATCAACGCTTGTCATTTCTTGGTGCAGGAGACAGCCACACAAAGAACACTCCTGTCGCTATGGTTACAGTTTTATTTGGGGGCTACTTTTCATTTCAATGGTCCTTAGAGTTTTATGTCAGAACCTCTCAGAGTTTACCACTGAAGGGAAAAGAAAGTGAGTCTTGATGAGTTGGTTCACTTTTATTGATTGTTCCATATGACCTTTAACTCATCCTTTTCCATTTCCCCTGGATTACTAGGAAGCTCAGCTCTCAGATTTGTGCATTATTGCAATAGATAGTCTTATACTATGTATCTGGCTCAACTAAGGTCCCCATTACGTTATTATGTTTTATGGCTCTTGATCTGTCTTCCTTAGGTTTTATTTAAGCCACCTCAAATCTCGTTTGGAACAACAAAAAAAGCCAAGAAAAATAATGTAGTGAGAGATAAAAGAAGATACCAGTATCCAATCCTTTTCTTAAATGTAATCACATTTGCCTTCCAAAATTAATAGAGGAATCAAAATTAATTACCAATTTACAGCCCCTGAAACTTGACAAAGGGCTCCGGGAGCAGAATAAGTGCTTTACTCATGTTTGAAGTGTGACCTCCTACAAATACTCTTTCATTCAAAACTTCACAGAGCTTAGCACAGTGCCTGACATATAGGAGGAACTCCATAAATATTTGTTGAATAAATGAAGGCATGAACAAACATCAGCCCTTCAAGGTCATCAAAGAAACCTCAGTTCATAGAAATTGTGAAACAATAAAATGCTTATAAAATATGATGATGAGTAGCTCCTGTGTATTGCAGGCTTACCGGCATTGTGCAAAACAGCATATTAGTAACCGATAAAGCCTGTATTATTATACCCATCTCACTGATTAAGAAGCTGAGGCTCAGAGCAGCTAAGCATAGCTGGGAAACGTTGGAATTTGGACTCTGGTCTGTCTGATGCTACAGCTCATGTTCGTCATCACCATGCGGTATCTCTTTAAATATGTCTGAATATTTGATACTACCTTTGTAACTTGGTCATGCCTTTGGGACATGAGACTTGGAAAGTAAATTTAAGTGTGACTTTTATTTTTCACCTTGCTGATTCCTCAGACAGCTTCCTCCATCTGGAACTGAAAAAATAGGAGGAGGAGAAATAATACAGAAGAGAGGATATATGCCCTAGCTGGTTTGGCTCAGTGGATAGAGCCTCGCCCTGCAGACTGAAAGGTCCCAAGTTCCATTCCAGTCAAGGGCACATGCCTGGGTTGGGGGCTCCATCCCCAGTAGGGGGCATGCAGGAGGCAGCCAATCAATGGTTCTCTCTGATCATTGATGTCTCCATCTCTCTCTCCCTCTCCTTTCCTCTCTGAAATTAATAAAAACATATTTTTTAAAAAAGGAAGGGAGGATATATATGTGTATGACTTATGATCACTTAAAAATATATATGAATATACATGTATAGAGCACTGAAGTCCTCCTGCAATCATGAATCCCTCCTCCCTGCAAGTGTACAATCCCATCTGTCTGTCATATGACTGAACTCTAAAAGCCTGGAAGGTAGGTTCTAATGCCTCTGCCTTCCAGATGAGACCCCAGCCCGCGGGGATCAGATGATACAACCGGCGCCCTGGTTCCAGAGCGCACGCGCCACTCCTCTCCCTGCACAGCCGTGACCTCCATGCACCCTCAGCCGATGACATCGGAACGAATGAGATGGCGTTGTAGCCGTGAGAAGGGAATATCTGTGCATATTCCAAGTGCGTAATTACACACATGCTTTGGGTACAAGTAGAGGGTTCGGGCTTACAGAGGTCGGGCGTATTTCACAACGGAGGTGACCCAAAAGCAGCTGGGCCTGAGCACGGGCGGACGCGGGCTGAGCGCGGAGCTCCAGAGGATGCGCGGAAGGAAAGGCCCCACCTAAACAGCCTCTGTGTTTGGATTCCAGCCACGGGTCTGCTTTTTGTCTATACAGTACGAACCTGTTAGCTAACATTTCAGTCAGCTAAAACAGGGTTCTCACGGCGAGCTCAGCCGCGCCCGCTCCCCTCTCCTCTCATTCATATTTCGGACCTGAAGCAGTTGCGTTTGGGAGCCACACTTCTGTCCTTCCCAGGCTCCTGGTCTGTTTCAAAAATACCTCCAAGCCCTCCTGTCCCCACTCCTCAGTCACCACCCCAGACAGGCTGTCCCCACTCCTCTCAGTCACCACCCGGGACAGGACAGCCTGAACAGTGACAGGGAACAGAAAGGACTCAGCCTCACAACGCGGGAGGGCCCTGTGGGGTTTAGGCCATCCAAGGCCCTGGCCCTGTAGACGATCTACCAACAAGGGGCCAACAGAGCTCTAATATGCGCGCTCCCGAGCCGCAGTTTGCCGACCACTGCCTTAGGCTGTTCC